GTGGCTGATGAGGAAATTGGACCTCCAAGGAAGATTGTTCAGGAAACGTCTCCCAGCCAGAAACAGCTACAACATGTAGAGAAGGTGCTCACACACACTACCACCAACATGTACACAAGACCTCTACCAGCACATCTAAAAGTTAGACCAGTGTCTTTTTTTTGTTATTGTCAAACCTCAATCTCCAGAATGGTTAAGTGGTCTATGGCTCTCAGCTCCATGCCTGTTAACGAATGGCAGCGCTTGTATTAACTGTGTTCAAACTAACTGAACAAAAATGATTTGTCTTAAGAGAGTGAAACCTGAACTGAGCCCAGCAGGACAGGCTGGTACCCGAGGGTTTGGGTCGGGTTTGGCCATGGAGGTCAAACTTTAGGCTAAACTAGTGTTATTGCACTTTGTAAATTAATCTATGCTTTTTCTTTAGTGTTGTTTAATTTAAAGTACTTGGTCTATTAAAAATTAAAATGATGAGCTGGTTAAGTGCAAGACAACGTTATTTAAGACGAATGAGAGCCAAAGAAAAAATCTTGGGCTCGGGTTGGCTTCAGACAGAAACGTGGCCCGATTCATACTCTTGTTTGTGCTGATCTCTTTGTTTCCCCAAACAGATCCTGAGAGGCAACGAGGAGCATTTAACAGAAATGCTGGATCCACACAACTTCATTGATAACAGGTAAGCCAATCAGGCAAGTGAAGACAAAGGGTCACTGTCGGGGAAAAGCTTTAGTCCTTTTTCTGTTTCACACAAGCTCGAGTTTCTTCATAGTGCAGCCAAAGTTCCAGGTAACTCTAGAAAGCATGATGGAAATGTTAGTTTCATGTATTAATGTGAGGTCGGTTACAGCGTCTTCATCGCTCCACACACATCTGATGCTTGTGTCTCCACCAGAAGTGATGAGTGACATTTAAATCACATGCTTCCTGAATGCCATCATTTTGTCACTAAATCCATTTCCTTTCCACCAACTTTTTCACCATGTACACATTTTTGTGATATTTGGATTTGCCCATTTTTCTGTAGCCTCTGAGTTTTACTTGTGTTTGTACTGTAGTTTTCAAAGTGTTGAACTATTTCTGTGCCGCCTACAGTAAAGCCATAAACAGGGAGTATGAGGAGTACGTGTTGACGGTGGGAGATTTCGATGAGCGCGTGTTTCTTGGAGTCGATGCTGATGAGGAAATTGGAACTCCAAGGAAGATTGTGCAGGAAACGTCTACCAGCCAGAAACAGCTACAACATGTAGAGAAGGTGCTCACATACACTACCACCACCATGTACACAAGACCTCTGTACACATCTAAAAGTTAGACCAGTGTCTTTTTTTGTTATTGTCAAACCTCAATCTCCAGAATGGTTAAGTGGTCTATGGCTCTCAGCTCCATGCCTGTTAACGAATGGCAGCGCTTGTATTAACTGTGTTCAAACTAACTGAACAAAAATGGAACCAAACATCACAGTTGGCTAATGAAAAACTTTATCTTGTAGTTACTTCACTGACAATGACGACTCACTGTTGCCGGTTGGTTCCCACACCCCAGAACCCAGCTGCAGCACCACTACGCGTCCTTTGAGTAACAATGTGCCTGTCTTTCTGCAGTCCGGTTCTTTGGCTCCCTCCACCCCTCTGACCGGGCGGGGCTACTTGAAGGAGAAGGACCTGCTCGTTACACCTGTGTCCTCAGCGACGCAGAGCGTTAGCCGGCTGCAAAGCATGGTGGCCAGTTTGAGGACAGCACCCAGCGACCAGCTGATGCAGATCTTCAAGTCAGTTCCTCTTTGTCTTTTTTCTGCATCTCATCATCAGACCATGATAGAGAAGACTGAAGTGAATGAACAGAGCAAAGAAACAAAGTAGAACAGGCAGTAGATGAGACTCATGTTAAAGGAATTGGTTTTCTTCATATAGCGATTGATGAAAACATGATTAATATAAGACATGGCTGACCTTTTCCTTTAATATAAAGCTGCCAAAGTCCAAAGAGGTTTATCATCATCATCATCATCCTTTATTAACAGACTCAAGGTCCATACAAAAAAGAAATAAAAGAAAAAGAAAGGATATAAAATAAAAATCATAAAAGACATTTATACCAATGTTTCCACAGAGAGGATTGGTAACGTACTACACTAAAACCAGGATTAACCAGCATCATTATAAGACTGTTCTCAGAGTTATTCACACGACAGATAAATCTGTACATCAGGTTTCTCATTAATGCCTGAAAGGTACTAACATGGACCTGTGAACACAACAGACTGGCGCTGGTGGACCTAGGCTTCTTAAGCAGAATCCTCAAGGCATCATTATAAGCAACTTTAAGTTTCTGTAAAGTAGCTACCTTATATTTACACCACAATGGGGCAGTATACAACGGTGTACAGTATGTTCTGAACAGATGAACTTTAACATTAGCAGAACACGTGAAATTTCCTAACCAACATATTAGCTTGAGCATACAAAATGCGACACTGCCGATATATATCCTCATCATCAGAAAGCTGATCTGTAATGAAATGTCCTAAATATTTAGTTTTTCTACAGACACTCAACCTTTGTCCAGACAAACAAAAGTCTGGGAAACAAAGTTCTTTGTCCCCTTTAGTCCGACAGATCAGTACAACACTCTTTTCTGCATTATATTTCACATCATACTTCAATCCATAGTCCGAGCACACATTCAGCAGTTGCTGAAAACCAGCACTGCTGGGCGAAAGTATGGCCAAATCATCAGCATACATAAAATGATTTACAAGATTAGGGCCTATCATACATCCAGTGTTACATTTATTCAATTGTTCAGACAACTCATCCATATATAAGTTAAACAGGGCTGGTGACAGTAGCCCCCCCGGCGCACCCATTTACAAACACCAAACGAGGCTGAAATAGTCCCACCCCATTTAACCTGCATCTTCTGATTAGAGTACCAGTATGCCAAGATTCTCACAATGCTATCAGGAACCCCTTTTTTGCTTAATTTATCCAAAAGCTTAAAGTGATTAACCCTATCAAATGCCTTGGACGCATCAATAAAACCCAACAAGACCGAGGAGTTTTGTCTGAGGTACTTCTGTGCTACCTCCTTCAGACTGTAGATACACAGATCTGTCCCCAGCTTGGATTTAAAACCAAACTGATTATGTGTGGTTGTTATACAATGACACAGGCGATCAAGCAATATCTTCTCAAGAACTTTAGATATAACACTGGCCAAAGCTATTGGCCTATAGTTATCCAGACTCCCAACTTTGCCAGCTTTGTCCTTCATAACAGGCACTAAGGTAACAGACAATAGAGAATCAGGTAGCAAACCATGAGTCATGAACCCAGAGAAGCACAAAGCAAGCAACACAGCAATCTTTGGGCTTGCATGCTTCAGATGTTCCGCTGTAATATTATCTGCACCAGCTGCCTTATCATCTGCATTATTGCTCGATGCACCTCACTAGAAGTGATCACCACAGCATCCTCACTAGCAATGCTTCCCACTACATAGGGATCACTTTTAACACAATTAAACAATGCAGAATAGTGTTCTCTCCACAGATCAGCAATATTATCAGCCCCAGATACTCCCTCTATGGCACTGGGCAGTGGTGAATTAACCCTATTCAGAGAGTTTATGTTCTGTCATATGTTGTTAACTCTATAAAGCCACACTGTGTCCTGTGTGGTCGTTACAGGTTGTGCTCCAGAGACCCCACAGAGTCCATACTGGCCAGAGTAAAGACCCTGGGACAAACCTTCAAAGAACATTACACCAAAGACTCTGAGGACGCGCCCGGCTCTCACATAGGTACCACACAGTCCTACCAGTTCAGTAATCACTGAACTAAATAAAATGTTCTTGAGAAACAAGAAAACCTGGGACAAAAACAGTTTGATACATCTTTGGGTCCTTGGCCTTAAGACAGAATATAAGCCATTCAGTGATTCACTCTTGCTTTGTGTCAGACTTTGCAGAGAACCGTCTGAAGCTGGCTGAGATCCTTTACTACAAGATCCTGGAGAACGTCATGGTTCAGGAGATGAAACGGCTGCAGGGCAAAGACATGAGCGTAAGCAGCAGCCTCAGTTTGTTTCATACGTTTTTATTTTCCTACAATAATGTGACAGTTTGAAAGCATTTGTGCGTAGTAATTCACCTCCTAACAATAATCAGTTGAACCCGCAGCTAAGGTTGGGTATGTTGAGGTTTTTTTCTGATATCGGCGTTAAAACAATACTTTTAAAATGGTGCTGGGGCCTTAATGGTGCCAGGACCGATATTTAAAAGGACTGTTTTCCTCTGAATAAATGTGTGTGTGTATTGTCAGGTGTTGTTGGAGCAGGATATCTTCCATTGTTCCCTGATGGCGTGTTGTCTAGAGGTGGTATTGTTCTCCTACAGCTCCCAGAGGACGTTCCCCTGGATCATCAATGTCTTCAAATTGGCCCCATTCTATTTCTATAAGGTGACCTCACACACACACACACACACACAGATTTACAACGTTGCGTTAGTTGGGGGATGAGTGTTATAGCTGTATATGTTACGGCCACAGTGTGACGAGTCAACCTGACTGGCTTCCAGCCCATAAGTTTCTGTTGTGCTTTGGTTACCCATGTCCTCACCATAGCCTGCTCTACCTTAGCGCCGATTCTACCACGAGTGTGTTGGCATTGATAGATTTAAAAAAAAAAGTTTAAAAAGCAGTTTAACATCCAATGCTGACAAGAATGCATGGCGTGTTACCTGTGGCCCAAATTCGACAGACCTCCAGTCACTTTGCTGATGAGATGTTCAGGTCCAGCCAGTACCTTTGTGCTTCCTAAAACAAAACTTTGCCTCCATCACAATAGTTTTATAAATGTATATCACAATTATGATTCAAACAAAACCTGTCTGCTTTGCTCAGTAATGTTTTCCAGGTGTGTGTGAGATTGTTTTAATGGATTTGTTTTGTGTTCGTATGTTTGTAGGTGATCGAGGTGTTTATCCGCTCAGAGGAAGGTCTGTCCAGAGACATGGTGAAGCACCTGAACTCAATCGAGGAGCAGGTTCTGGAGAGCAGAGCGTGGACCTCAGACTCTGCCCTGTGGAGTGCCCTGCAGGCTGCTGAGAACAGAGTCCCCACAGTAGAGGAGGTCAGCAGGACACACTCAGACAAACGCACACATGCACAAAATATCTGTTGTGACAATCTGGAAAAGAGCGAGCAGCTACTTCCTCTCACTCTCTTCGCCTTCTCCCACTCTTTCATCTCTAGGTGAATTTCTCCTCCAATCTTGACAGCGGTTCTGGTCTCACCAGTGGAGGGCCGTCCTATCTGCCTCTGCTCACCCTCTCCCCCATTATCCACCCTCGTATCAGGGAGTTCAGATCAGGTCTGGATAGTGCACGCAAAGGTGGGCGTTTAGGTGCATCTCTGTGTGTTTGGATATGTAGTATATTTTGTGAATGCAGGTTATTTATGTACTTTTTCTGTCTTTTTTCCCTTTTCCAGATGTGCCTCCCTCCCCATTGTCAGTCCACGACAGGTATAGCTCCCCAGCAGCTGGCTCTTTGGTTAAACGCCGGCTCTTTGGCGACGATCCTCCGGCCCCAAAGACGGGACTGAACCCCGGTATGAGCCCGGCCTCGTCTCCAGCCAAAAGGCTGACGTTTGGTTCGAGCAGCACCCTGAGGATTGGAGAACAGGAGACCCAGACCACCATCCCCGTCCTGAGCATCCCACTGCAAGGTAGAGCACAGGAACATTCACTGTACATCGATTAACTGAAATACAAATGTTGTTCAATGGCTTCTGTTTCGTGATTATTTTAGTAAATTCAAAGCTGTTTAACATCATGAATCAAATATTGTTTCTACCACTTAAAGTTAAATAAGGCATAAAATCTAGGTGCAAATAATATATATTCTTCTGTAGAACCTTAATATGAAACTCTAAAAGCTGAAGAATTTAGTTTAACAAGACACACTAGCATTTTGCACTGCAGGAGGTACGGTAGTATCACGAACACACACTGACCACATCTACACCGCTTTGTGTGGTTTAACAAAGCTTTTAAAAAGTCTTGAGTTTAGCCTGATGCCCGCTGCAGAAACCTGTAATCACAACATGATATTCCACAACGCTGTGGAAGCAGCTTAGAAAAGTGTGCGCAGCACTACTCACTGGGAATCAACCCCTCACTGTGGCAGTGTTGGTGCCACGCTCTATAGCCTACAACCCCGACAGGCTGATGGATGGTTGTGCTGAAACAAGTTGCTTATTAACTTTACACAAGCTGGTTATGCTAATTGTGTTTGCAGTTGCAGCTCGGAGTAATGACTGCACAATTACACTGATCCCGGTTCAGCCATGTGACTCCACTGCTCAGTTCCTGGTGACCGCCTCCCCAAGCCGAGCAGCCACCGCACACACCACCTCTGAGGCCCAGACAGGAAATGGCCGGCCTCGACGCACCGGATCCCTCGCGCTGTTCTTTAGGAAGGTACGAGCTGGAAAAGAGACACAGCGATCACGCCCAGGATAATGTCACCATAATGTTTCTTAACCTTACTCACATTTTGTGATCATTCCCATTTAGTCTTGTTTTTATTGTGAAAAGTAGGTGATCAACAAATATTTAGTCATACTGCAGTTTTCATTGATGAACTTGACACCGATTTGAAGACATGTGCTTTATGATTTGAATCAAATCAACAGAGTATTTCTATATGGAGCCTGGCGAGTTTCCACTGTTCTGTGTTTTTTACACCTGAGGTTTTCCTGCCTAGTCCAGCCTGTCCTCTTTTTTCAGGTGTATCACTTGGCCAGCGTACGTCTGAGGGACCTGTGCGCCAGGCTGGACATCTCCTCAGAGCTGCGAGGGAAAATCTGGACGTGTTTTGAACATGCTGTGGTCCACTGCACAGATCTGATGAAGGACAGACACCTGGACCAGCTGCTGCTGTGCAGCATTTCCATCATATCCAAAGTGAGAAAAGTGACCCGTTCACTAAATATGTCACATTTAGTGAAGTAAATTGGTTTCCATTGTTTAAAACTGCAAGAGACTGCAGTGGTGTCTCATAGGGAGATATGTCTCTGTCAGCTTCACAAAGTTTTTAATAGGTTTCCTTAGAGGGAAGTTTGTTTCTGTCTGTGCTGTACATGGCCTGTCAGAGAAAACCAGCACTTTAATCACAAAATCCTTTGCCCTGCTGTCTTTAATTTTCTCTACACTTTTTATACACTTAAGGAGGTGACGTTTCCACCTGTGGAAAACCTTAAATGATGGTTGGTTATCTGCTGGTAGGAAAATGACAGATTAACTTTACCTTCCTTTTATTGTTTTTTCTTTTCCTTAGATCACTAAAGAGACTCTCACCTTCCAGGACATCATGAAGTATTATCGCAGCCAACCACAGGCCAGCAGCCATGTGAGACACTCGCATACACAGCAGTGCGCACACACACACTCTCACACAAATGCTGAAAAGCTTCATACAATAAAGTATGAATTAGCGTAAAACCTGTATTTATGTAGTACTTTTTTTTTTATAGTCAAAGTGCCGACACAACCGGAAGACAGGTAGAGGAAACCGCATTATTTAAAGTTACTCTACCTTATTTCCTTTCAGCCTAGAGGCTTTAGTGGCGGGGGTGGGGGTGTTAGCTGAGAGACAGCACGTCCTGTCCCACTGTCACTGGGGTCATCAGACACTGTGGAGAATCTTGAGTTAATGCACCTTTAAATGAGAAATGATCACACAAATGAAAAGTGACTAAAATGTTGGTCTGGCAGGTTTAAACATCTGAGCTCA